TAGCACAATTACTATTGTGAAAAGAAGAAGGACAAAATGTTGCGAGCTATGACTACATCTCCACGAACGTAACCAGATCTTATACAGTCAGCGAGTGCGACAAATTGGCACAAAACTGACAAAGAGTCCTGAGACTTTCGGCAACCTGACACCTAGCTCCAGCACTTCTCCAGGGTGCAAACCAACAACCTTCCAACTTGGAAGGCTCAGGTTCGGAAAGGTCCAAGAGGGAAAGGAAAGCGCAACGAAGAAGAGCACGAGGTACGCATCACGGCAACAAAGAATGCCGAAAGTTAATGGATGATGACGAAACTAGTAAGACCATTGGACACACTGGCCTTATTACAACTCGCCAAAGCAAAGCAACAGACCACCCAACTTGGGAGGCTCAAGTTTATGTAATAAACGTAGACTTTCAAGTCACAGAGATGCACACACAGACATAGATGCACATAGTGATGGCAGACAAAGTAGGGGAGGCGGGGCAAGAGCAGCGAAAACGAACAGGAGCCTCGGTTTTAGCGCTGCTCATGCGAGCCAAAAATTAGCATCTCCTCTCGTTTGGTCCTGGGAATTCAAATAAATAAAACAAACAAACAAACTCCAACACACACAGATCACCACTGGGAAAAAGAGTTCAAGTATTCCTGTAATTGAAATGTCGAGCGTGTTATCTCTCCAACACAACATTGTAGCCTTTCAGTTGCATTGGAAGCGGAGCTCTTTGCCTTTTTCCCAGATAGTTCGATCGTGGAAATCCGTCAAATTTCGAGTGAGTGACAAACATTTCAGTTTATCGACGGTATACCGTCGATATTTGAGCTCCACCACCTTGTCTATAGACCTTATTCGATAAACGTCACAATCACGTGAACCGGGGTCCCGGGGTCCCGGGAACCAGGGAGTGGCAAGAGACCTGCACTCAGTGCACAGTGGACTCGGCGTGGGAACATAGGAGTAAATAAATACCGGTATTTTACTACTCCGTTGTACGAACTGAGCCTTTCTTGCCACTCGTTTCATGCACGCGTGCCCCAGCTTACGACAAATCCCTGGAGGCGAGTCCAAAAATCACGTTATCGAATAAGGTCTATAGCTAGATGATGAACTTAGGGGTCGTCGCAAAAGTTTTTTGTCGTCCCTGAAACGAACATGATTCATTTGGGGGGGGGGGGGGGAGGGGTGCGAGCCAAAATCGCAAGTTGACCGACACTGTACATATGACATGTACATGAATGTGATTTTCGTCGTTCAGCATAGCAAGCTGTGTTCGTTTCAGAGGGGGGGGGGGGAGGGAGGGGTCCAAGTACGAAATGAACGATGTTCGTTTCAGGGACGACAGAAAACTTTTGCGACGACCCCTTAGAGGAGCCTGGCTATACACTATCACACAGCAGCAGCAGAATCACCTAACAACTTCTACTGCATGCCAGAGCCAGCAAACACACCCATGCCACCTTTCTCCCTGTCACAGACAGATTGACTGACTGGCTGACAGACAGACAGACAGACAGACAGACAGACACGAACACACTCTGTCATACAGATGGACACACAGGCGACAGACGAACACACAGGCAGACAAACGGACACACCACAGACAGACAGACAGAGAGGGGAGAACTGCTGGCGGTAGGTAAAACGAAAGAATCCGTTGTCCACATGGTGGGATCTAGACAATGTAAATAGACTTGAATAGACAACCATTGCATAAAATGACATATTTCGTGTTACATGTTGTGATTGTCTTCGTTATCATTCTGTGTGCAGCTGAGGATTGTAGTGTGCCCACCATTGATAACGGCGCTACTGACAGAACAGGGGTGGTCGGGGCAACGGAAGCTGTGGCCTTTTCATGCCATAAAGGTTTCAGGCTTGTGGGTGATGCCAGACCGACTTGCACACTTGGAGGTAAACTGACATCTGTGCCTCGCTGTGAAGGTAAGAGAGAATAGAGAACTGATTTTGAATGGGAGCAAGATCAGTCTTGTGGGCTCGCCTCACCAGCAAAGGCTTGCTTTGCAACCCCTACTCTCCCTGCTGTTTTGTTCTTGTATACCGTAATTTCTCTGATAAAAGCCCAGGTCTCCAATAATGACCCGGGGTGAGGGTGGTTTGAAATAATAATAGCACAGTCTCTAATAGTAGTGCGGGTCCCAATTGGAGTATGCAACAAGTATATTGACTGCATGTAAAACAGCAATACAACATGCCAAGAACATATTTGTAAGGAAGTTTTCGGTCTACAGCTTCCTTCTTGGCGCCAATGCTATTGTGACACATCTGTTTTGACAATATTCCTGAGTTTAGGCTTGATCTGGTCAGTTTATGCCTGTATAGATTGGAGTTGGCTTGATAGTTGACAATTGAAAAAAAATAAGAGCCCATTATTATAGCCCAGTCTCTAATAGTAGCGCGGGTATAGCTGTCACTGACAAAATAAGAACCCCGGGCTATTATTAGAGAAGATACTGTTGTTTTCTGTTGTCTGCTCCCCTTCTGAGTATGGTGTGTAGTTAGTAAAAATGAAAGAAAAAAGTACACATCTGATTGTCATGAAAAAATGTCGCAAAATTCTTCAATAGGCTGTCGAAGTCTGACGTCACGGAGTCTTGACAACGAGTAGTACTTGGCCAAGCAGTGACAAACCAACGGTCGCGTCACCTGAACTTGTGTTTCCAGTGGCAGCCGCGTGCAGTGAACACAGTTACAGCATGATTTTGACTGAGGAGTGCGTGAGCTAGACTATTTATTTCAAACACACTGCTACATGTCGCCGAGTTTGTAGTTTTCGCTTTTTGGAGAAGGAGAAGCCGTAGCTGATTTTTTGCTTGGCCACTGCTGTGCCTGTACTGTCGTTCGGCTTTACATTTAGTCGCCGGCCAAGAAGCAATGATGGATGTCTGTGTTACTTCTATCACAGCGATCGCTAATTTCTTTTAGTTCTGAGACCAACCAACTCTTGGCCGGTTTCCTTGGCCAGCGGCAAGCGAAAATCAGAACTCCTATCTCTCAGGCGCTGGTGAACACTCAGCAGGAAAACACTGCACGGTGGCTTGAGAGCGAAGGATAAATTTTTTGAAGTAAAACAAAACTGGACGTCGCGATCTTGCACCAGCGCGCCCCAGTTAAAGTGATGCCATGACCGTTGGAAATACGACAAGTGCAAGTGACGCGACTTTTGTTTTTCATCGCTTTCCTAACTTGTAGCTGAGGTTGATTTTGAAAACGGAAATGATTGAAGCATTTATTTACAGGCAGAATGCTGATAATTCGAAAATGTCTTTATTCGAATATCTCGCTTAATTGGAAGTTTTTTTCGAGGACGGACTTCTATCTATACGATTCCCACTAAACATTATTTTTGACAATTCGAATCTTTTTTCTTCTTTTTCTTTTACTATGTTCACATAACCAGCTCGAAAAGAATAAGGAAAGACAATGGTACAGAGACTAGGACAAACTGACAACTACAGTCCATTTCAAAACTATAGACGCGTACCTAGGCAAAAACCGTTATGCCAGCATCTATACCACATAAAATCTGTGATCACTTTGTGCATAAATTTTTCCAAATTGGGCGTCTGTTATCCAATCCTTTAGAAACTATACGAGAGTAATTGTGGAGCGATCCTGAGCAATATACCGAAAACTATTCTCAAAACGTTCCAGCCCAATTTGAAATATTTCAAAAACCCTACGCGTCTATAGTTTTGAAATGCACTGTAATGAGCAGGCGCTGCACCGAGACGCAGCAGTGATGGTGGGGCATTGATGACTCTGCCGACCTGAGGTCTCGGCGTCACGTTAGCTTGGCATATCCGGTTAATTAGAAGTTCCAGCAAATCCACTTCCATGGAAAACGTGTGGGATATTTGCTGATACAAGTAGTAGGATGTTGGCAAAGTATAATTCAATATTACTGTATGCTATACAAGTCATTTCAGTATGCATGTACAGATTGTACTGACCAGTGAAGTGCGTATGAAATCTGTGTGCCGAGCTCTATAGCGCAACGCTGCGTAAAAATGCTCTCATTTTGACATATTACATTGTGTTGCGGGTGCATGGTTGAATATCGAGAATGATTACACGTTTTCCCTGGCATTTTAGGGTTTAAATTGTCGGGGTCCACCTGTATTCAAGTTTCCATGAGATATAATAATATTATACTGTCTCATCTCTGTTTCTTAAAGGACAAGCATAATCCATATTGTGTGGAGATCCTCTTCATGATCATCTTGGGTGAACAGGTTTTTTCCCCTTCTTCTCTATAATATTGTGTGCCCAGCCTTCAATTGCAGCGCACCACAAATAAAGTTTGGTACTGCCAATGTATCAGTCACTCAAGAGGGTGATTCCTTTCACTACACATGTCAGAAGGGTTACTTTCTGTTTGGAAAGTCTGAACGTGCGAGTACATGTACAAAAACAGGTGTTTTGAACACACCGGCATGCCAGCGTAAGTACAATGACATTCGAAGCCTTCATGATTACTTTTAAGTTTAAACGCACCCGACACTAGGATTAGTGTGAGCGTGTGCGTGATTGTGTGTGTGTGTGTGTGTGTGTGTGTGTGTGTGTGTGTGTGTGTGTGTGTGCGTGTGTGTGTGTGTGTGTGTGTGTGTGTGTGTGTGTGCTGCTTACGTGTGTGTGTGTGTGTGTCCCTTTGTGCTTGAAGGGGACGGTTGTACTTTTTTTGCTCTGACCTTTTCGAGTTCAGCCTTCTCCCACTTGGCCACGGGGTGGCTCTGGACCTACCAGAGTCGCCCCTGGCGTGTTCCTGAAATTTCTGAGGCGAGGGTTTCACGACGCGGTCGCCAGGGCGGTGTTTTTCCGTCACGACTGTTGTCGTCCTCGTCTCACCATTCGCGGCGGTGTAGCTGACCCCCGAATGGTTTCCAACTGTAAAGCTCAGAGAGTGCTGTCAGAGAGGAAGAGGAGAAACAGGCTGCGGTCATTGGCCTTTGGGTCTTGGAACGTTCGAACCTTGGTGAACGATGACGGACCCGTCGAGACGGCAAGAAGAAGACGTTTTCAAAATTCAAAAATTCGAATCTGTCGTGGAGGACAAGAAGATTGACTTGGTGATCCGTGAGCTGTCCAGAGTTGATATAGAGATGGCTGGACTGCAGGAAACGAAGTGGTTCGGCGGGGATTCCTTTAGTGTTGGTGATGCCACCGTGCTCGCGTCTGGTCGCCCTGTGCCTGCCGAAAATTTTCGTCGCTCCGAGGGAGTTGCACTGGTCCTACGACGTAGGGCTAAACAAGCGTTCGAGTGTGGAGGTTGCCAGTGGAAAGCTTTCTCATCATGCATTGTCACAGCCCGGCTTAATTTCGGCAATGACAACTCTCCTTCTTGGATGACGGTAATGTCCTGTTACGCTCCAACATTCAGGTCGGCTCAAATCGACAAGGACGAGTTCTTGGCTCAGCTTGAAGCTGCACTGGACGCTATCAATCTTCTGGATGATGTCATTGTCCTGGGTGACTTTAATGCACGTGTAGTTTCTGGTCCACAGCAAATGGAGATGTGGCAGGGAGTACATGGATCGCATGGTGTGGTAGAAGTGAATGAAGCTGGCCATAGCCTTCTTGCTTTCTTGGCCTGTCAACAGCTGACTGTCTGTAACACACAGTTTCCCAAGAAGCGCATCCACATGTACACCTGGCAACACCCTGGTTCACAGAGATGGCACTGCATAGACTACGTAATTGTTCGGCAGCGATATCGTAAACGTTGCATGGATTGTCAAGTGATGCGTACGGCAGCGTGTAGCACTGACCACCGCTTGATCCGCATGAAGTATCGATTGCCTGATATTGCACAGCAGCGCTATCACCGTGACTCGCATCCAGGCCTCGGAGATTTGCTGTTCATCGGTTTAACCGGTTGCCATTTATGAGTGAGGAGGAGGCTGAGGGTGTGTCTGCATTGCGTGCTGGGTACTGTGCTGGTCTTGAGTCTCTACTGGCTGATACATATGATAGTGCCTCATCCGTGGACTGTAAGTAGAGTGCTGTGAAGTCGGCTGTCGTCGATGTGGCTGGGGAGGTGGTTGGCCGAGACAAGCGGCGTGTACCGGACTGGTTTCGTGATAGTGCCCCGACACTGGAGCCCCTACTAGCAACCCGTAATCGGCTATACGACCTGTGGCTCAGAACTGGCCATCAGAATGATCACAGGGCTTTCAAGGAGGCTCGTGGCCAGGCTCGAGCTGGTATACGGCGGGCAAAGACCACCTGGTTAATGGAAAAAGCGGTGGTGGTGCAGCGGGGACGTTTCAGCGGCAAATATGTGTGGTCTGCCATCCGAGATATGCAGCGCTGTTTTGGTTGGCTAAAGCCAATATCTGTACAGGCTATCCGCGACACTCGGGGAGACGTCTGTGGATCTGTGCAAGAGCAGAGGGACACATGGCACGGGCACTTCTCAGGTGTTTTGAATGTCTGCAGTACTTACGATGCAGAGGTATTCCAGCAAATCCCCCAGCGGGAGATCATGCACTCGCTAACGCAGCCACCGTCGGGAGAGGAGTTGACCCATGCCCTGAGACATCTGAAGAACGGCAAGGCTGGTGGCATGTCGCAGATCGTGCCTGAACTGTTGAAGGCTGGTGTGCCCGTCCTCCACCCACTCCTTCTGGACCTGCTTCAATCTGTCTGGTCGGAGGGTTACGTACCGCAGGACTGGCGTGATGCAGTGCTCATCCCCATACCTAAGAAGGGTGACCTTTCTCGCTGCGACAACTGGCGAGGAATTGCGTTGCTGGAGGTTGTGGGGAAGCTAGTTGCTAGGGTCGTGCAGAATCGGCTGCAAGTGCTCGCTGAGGATTAGCTACCGGAGTCGCAGTGTGGGTTCCGGCAAAACCGTGGTTGTGCTGATCTTCTCTGTCCGCCAACTGGTAGAGAAATCATATGAGCATAGATCGAAGCTGTTTTGCGACTTTGTGGACCTCCGCAAAGCATACGACTCTGTGCCTCGTGAGGCTCTGTGGCAGGCATTGCTTCGGCTCAGTGTCCCCCCTCAGGCTGTGGCTCTCGTGAAGTCGTTCCATACGGACATGTTGGCGTCTGTTCGTGTTGCTGGTGGTTGTACCGATCCGATCTCTGTACAAAATGGTTTACGGCAGGGGTGTGTCATGGCTCCTGTGCTGTTCAACCTGTATTTCGGATTGGTGATGGAGCGGTGGAGGTCTGTTCTCAGGGAGCGCGGCATCGAGTCTGGTGTGGATTTCAGCTTCTTGATTAATGGACAGTGGTTTCCCCGTGCAGCTGGGCGACGACGACAGTCTCAGACTGGTCATGCTGATGATTTTGAGTTTGCCGATGACGCCGTCCTACTCGCAACAACTCGTGCTGCAGCCGACCTGTCCCTGTCCGCCTTCTGCGATGTGGCATCCAGCTTTGGCCTCACGGTCAGCATGACGAAGACTAAGCTACTGGTCGCGGGCTATGGAGTCACTGCCGCTGATTATTCCGATCTGGCAGTTGGCAATGAAAGGGTTGAAGCTGTTACCTCCTTCCCCTATCTTGGATCTGTTATAACTCCGGATTCGCGAGCTCATGCCGATGTCCAGAGCCGCCTTGCGAAGGGTGCCAGGGCCTTTGGCTGTCTTCGGCGGATTTTACATGATCAGAGCCTGAACCTGCCTACTCGACGGCATTTGTATGTGGTATGTGTTCTCACCACGGTTTTGTATGGCTCGGAGTGTTGGATCCCAGTGAAGTCGGACTTGGACAAGCTGGACAGGTTCCATCACGCCAACCTACGGTCAATCCTTGGCATTTCGCGCGGCTGCCAGTGGGAGCAGCACATTACATCGGAGCAACTACGCACACAGTGGCGTGACCCTACTCCACTGTCGTGCATGGTACAGCGCAGACGCTTGGAGTGGATTGGGCACCTAGCTCGGCTTGATAACAATCGGTTACCCAAGCAGTTGCTCTTAGCTCATCTGCCACGAACCCACCCGTTTTGCGGCCCCCGACATCGCTGGAAGGACGTTGTCCAGGCTGATCTGACTGTGGCCGGTGTGCACAATTGGTTCCAATCAGCCAACGATCGCGGAGAGTGGCGTGACATAGTGTCGGCAGCAGCGGGGAAGAAGAAGCCTGCCCCGAAGACGATTGTGTGCCACGTTTGCGGCCGCCTGTTTCGTCGGCGCGCCGACATGGCCCGGCACAAGTGCACAGCAGTCCAACAGCTCCCCGTATCACAGCAGCCTGGGTCGGTGCAGTGTCCTGCCTGCAGTAGATGGCTCCGGAGCAGGGGTGGGCTTGCAGTGCATAAGTGCCTAGGGAGTGACAACTGTGACGACCGACCGCCTTTTGATGCTCCTCCTGTTGCCGAGGTCCCGGTGTGTACTGCCTGCCAGCGTACTTTCAAGTCTACTGCTGGCCTCAAGCGCCATCGCTGTGGACCCCGCCCGAAGCACCCTACAGTGACTGATCGCCAGCACCTTGAACATCATTGCCGAGTCTGTAGTCAACGCCAATTTCGGAGGCGACAGGACCTGCAGCGCCATTTGAAGCACTGCCTACCTCTCCCCTAACCTCTCTGACAGTACCTCCCTTTGGGGAGCGGCGTGGCCATTTCTGGCAGCTGTCAATAGTAGTAGTAGTAGTGTGTGTGCGTGTGCGTGTGTGTGTGTGTGTGTGTTCAGGGTTAAAGGTAAAAGGTGGTCGCGTATGTGTGTGTGTGTATGTGTGTGTATATGTGTGTGTGTGTGCTTGATTTGTGTGTGTGTGTGTGCCTGATTGTGTGTGTACGTGTGTGTTCAAGGTGCAAGGTTCAAGGCGTACGCGTATGTGTGTGTGTGTGTGTGTGTGTGTGTGTGTGTGTGTGTGTGTGCGTGTGTGTGTGTGTGTGTTTGGAGTTGCGTTCGCAGTAAGCATGCAAGACAATGGCTGTGGGAATTTTGTTGTATTTTGTTCACGGCTGCAGCTGATGTACCCAGCAACTACCGCTATTGCAGCTCGTCTGTAACCATGATATCTGACACTAAGTTTACCTTCAACAGAGCAGAAGAATTGTGCAGGATCTATAATGGAGTGATCCTCTCGGGTCGCTCGGCCCAAGTTGGGTGTTGGTGGGGACTTGCATCTGCGAGTATGCAAGCATGGAAAGGATTGCCAATGGGAGATAACACAGCATTTGATATGCACGGTGCAAAACACAACTTGGATGCTGAGCTGCACGCCATTTGCGAAATACGTAAGTCATCAGTCAATCAAAATGGAAAGGAACATACGGATACATGTTAAGCGTAATTGTCCACTGATCTGTAACTATAATTAGTGAGAAAGTGTGACAACTAGGCACGATACCGACAGAGTACCGAGACATTGTGTCCATATGTCCCTTTCTTATCTGCACTTACTCTTGGCTCATCATCCGAGTTTCGAATCAATCAATCCGTTTAGAATACAACGAGAAACCGGGTTAAATTTAATCAATCAATCCGTGTAACACTGAACTGGGCACATTTCGTTTGTAAGAAGGTCCATGCAAATTCATCATGATGGGAGGAGATCTGGTCAGACCACAATAACTAAATTAGGTTTTGTTAAATTATTGCTCCCATTGGGAACAACGGGCAGATAAAGGCTAATTAACTTAGTGTAGGGGTCAACTCTATGGATCTCCTTCAGTCCAGAATCGTTATTCTCGCATGTCACTTGATTGTCGCCTTGGAGTCAACCAGTGACAGATCAAACTGCTCGGGCTGGAAAGTGCAGTGCTGCCTGCTCAAAGGTGATGGAACTGGATCCACTGCTCATCGTCAAGTGACTACCCGCCGTCAAGTTGTTGTTGCTAACTGGTATTTTACTTCACCAACTGCACAGGCATAATTGCCTGCTCGCCGACCCATAGGTACGGTTCTCACAGAAAGATGAAAAGTGATTCCAAGTCGATTGGCTTGTGAACTTGGTGCGTGTTTCATAAATACAAGAACACCGGAACTGAGAGGTGAGTTATTTACATGATTATGTGGTGTGTGCATGCATGCGTGCTCTTTGGCTTGGGTGCACACGGGAACAACGTTCCAGTCACTCATATTCGGCCGGCACCGTTGTTCTTCCAGCCCTTGCCGCTTTTCGTGGTGCGGACTGGATTCCGCGGTACTGCCCTCGTGCTCGTGCAGGAACCTGTACGTCATCCTATCTCCCTAAGTTGTTCCAAGCATGCACGCAAATGCAAGTAAATTGACCCGATCTTTCGCTGCTGCTGACAATGCCCAGGTTAGGCGTTCGTGACTCCAAAGGGCGCATACAAAATGGATGTTTGTCAATAGGCTGATAGGTGGTGACGGCCAACTGACAACTGTTCCATTTTTTGATCGCATTGAATTATCCGCCTCCTAGTCTCCACATCAGACTTCTCATCAGGAGTGATAAGAGCCCCACCCCGGATATTTGAATTTTTTTATTCTGCCGGGACTCCAAACAATAGAAAAGCACGGGTGTTGGACGATGTGGCAAAGTTCCCCTCGCATGAGATTGTTGCTCGACTAGGTATCTGTACAGGTTGCCATGGTTTCATATCTAGGTATCTGTACAAGTTGCCATGGTTTCATATCGTTACAAAAACATGCCCTTTTCTATACCTGTGTGTTCAGCCTGTATTTCCCAGCGCCGTGCTGATAAGGATTCTAAATTAAAGACTGGTAACGTCACTTGCCCATACAATGGTAAGTCAAGCTGTAGCTTGACCGTATTGTCAAGTATGGTATTTGTCTCCTCATCAACTCATAACAGTAGACATTCTTTTGCTGAGATTTATCTTGCACCTATCATTGTCCGGATCAAGTTAAAGATAAAAGATCAATATTATACGAATTATTGGTGAACGATTAAAATCAGTGTATAATACAATCAGGCTGACACAAACTGACGTCACAAAACCATCTTCTTTGTCCATCACCACCTTCTCTTTTTTGTGACATCTCAATGAAGCCTTCGTGAAATGACACTTCAGGTGGTTATGTTCATTGAAATAACAAAACTATTTTAGGGTTCTGTTGGATACCGTGTTTGCTGTGTGTGTGGTGGTGTCATGGCAATAGTTGTTTGCTGCGGTTGTGTTTTTTACTTGATTGCAGAACTGGTTGGCAATATACCTTGCCCTTCATCCCAGACCGTGGTAAAGAGAAGCATGCTTGGCCTCCTGTTCAATTACCACGAGGCGAGAGAGTTCTGCAGATACTACAGGGGAATGGTTATTTCTGAAGCGTCGTTCCTCGCAGGATGTTCGGGAGGCCTGGTAAACAAGGATCTCATTGCGGCCAGAGGGGAGCCACTCCCCGCTGGGAACGTCTACAGGATCCGCGCCACTAACAACGGTGTACAAAAACTTTCAGCCCGTCTGTACGCTCTCTGTGAATTCCGTAAGTTACTGTTCAACTTGACTCGAAGCTGTTATAATATAAGTACTCCTGTTATAATATAAGTACTCCTGTTAGAAAGGAACTCCTAGTACAGAGTCAGTATGCTTATAGTCTGTTTCAAAAAGATTTACAATCAGGTTTGGGTCTTAAAAAGTATGAAGATAAGGGAAATTTGGACAACAAAGTACATAGAATGGCTTGTTAGGACACGGCAAATTGTTCTGTGAAGGTTTCGGAACAATTGGATCAGCCGTTAAGGAATTAGAATTTCGGCCAGGTTTCCGGCCTTTTCCCATGGTTTACAATTTGCCCAGGAAGCCAGTATCGATTTTTTATCAAAACCCACGATTTATCCCTTCCTTTTTGGCCTTGTGGTTATGAATGCTGTCTGCTGATCATGAAGTTAGTTGTGAGTTCGAATCCCAACCTATCCTCAAGTCAAACTTTTTTTCTTCATTGTTTTGGTGATCAAGCTGGTACGAGACAAAGAAGATGGCTGCACCAAACGACTTGTTGTTGTTGGAGCTCGCGCTTCCTGCCGAACTGACTGACACTTGACTGGCTCACGCCATGTGAACACACCCACAACACTGCAATGGTGTGAGTGAATATGGAAGTCATCGCGCTGTAGCTTTTTGAGATTTATTCTAGTATTTCAAGATCGCCAATTTATTTGAATTGAGCAGTCAACGCCGCCTTCTATCAGCGTTCACAAGCGTCTACTTTCTCAAAATGTCGTCGAGGTCACACGGATAGTTTTGCCAAGTCATGACCTTGGGAATGAGTCCGTGTCGATGTCGTTTTCGTCACACGGTGAGTAAATTGCATCGCAGCTCAAAGAAACTATTTTGGTCACAAAACGAATTGGGACCCATGCCGCTCGTCAACATTTACAACACTTTCGTTTCGACATGTCCCCTCTGACTCCATTATCGATACGAGGAAGAACTCGTTTGTTGTAAACCAGACGACAGACGTACATGACTGTATCAACGTGAGTGAGTTGTCATTTTTCCTGCTTTCGCGCGGAATATTTCTTCGAGTTCACAGTGAGTTTTTCCAGGCAGCGCTCGAGTGCTCATACGGTAAGATGCCAAACTCCGCGGGCGATCGCCAGGATTGCAAATCTTTTTGAAACGGACTGTAGGGTCTGCAAAAGTGCTCAATACCTGATTCCGGCAGAGCTGCGTACACAAAGGCACACAATGAAAACCTTGGCAAATTCCGTTGTGACGCAGAGTCTCATGGCTGAACCAAATCATCGGATATCGTTTGTGCAGTGTACATAGTAGTAATATATCTACTTCTGTAGCACTAGCATGATAAGACTGTGCATGCTCTTGTTCAGGGATTTCCCCCAATTTACTGGTGCTTCCTGGATGTTTGTGTGCTGGGGGATCAGGACAGAACAGAGCCGACACTACCGAGGCATCCTTTGAGCATCCTTCTGCGCAGGTCTGGAGTAGAAATATTATGACTTTTGCCCCTCTGAGATTTGAGCATGACCGGTAAGAATTGTTCTCCATTGTCAACTCACCGGCGTGTTCATTTCGTCGGAACTCGGTCTCCGGACCTGGTGGGAAGGCAGAAATGCCTGTTCACTCGGTGAAGCAAAATAAAATGAACAAACAAACTCCGCGGGGTCCTTCTGTTATAGCTGCATGGGGTAATAGTGTTTGGCAGAGTCTACACATTCCTATCAAAGTACACCACAGCAGAGGTTACTTATTGAAAACTATCAGGGCAATTGTGTTTGACTGAAAGGTTATGGTCCACCACACATGTCAGCCATTATTGAGTTCGGTAAACGGAGCTACTACCTACTTCACATCAAAGGGAAATATCTAATGTTTGGGGCGCGTTCGAATTGTCACTCTTTGACTTTTCGTGGAGTTTCGTTTTTCTGAAGAGGTGGCCTTATTGGCCTCTTCAGAAAAACGAAGCTCCTCGAAACTCCTCAATACTCCAGAACCTCATCCGATGAGAGAGGTGGATTACTTCCGAAGAGTTTGGAATGGCTACTTCACGTAGTACGTGGAGATGGTCGATCTGATCGGACGTCATTATCGCCATGACAATTCCACTGAAAGAAAACTCTAAACTGGTAGAAACCGTTCTAATGTGACACTTCAACAGATCTCTTTTAAAAATTTGTCCAAACAGTTGATGAAGACAACTCGAACACCCCCTTAGCATACGCACCACATCGCTAGATGTACTTCTTGAAGAAATGAAGAAAATCTATCCGGGCGAATTTCGGAAAAGCTCGCAGAGTTTGTTTGTTTCTTAATTTTTACTTCGCCAAGTAAACACGCATTTCTGCCTTCTCACCATGTCAGGGGACCTAGTCCCGACAAATTGATGAAGAGTATTCAGAAGAGTAAATGAAAATATATGTATAGTAAAGAAAAAAAGGACCAAGGAACTACAAGTTACGCTATAATGTCCACTAACACCACCAGTTACTAAACAATCAGATTATGCAATAACATTGCACGACACTGACCGACTGTACTGACGTTCTACTAGTGAAGAGAGCGAGACAAAGAGGAAAGAAACGAGTACATTATGGAAGAGAGAGAGAGAGAGAGGTCGAATGAGGGCAAATGCAAGAGAAAGGTCATGGGTAGCTATGGCAAATATGGGCGCGCAAGTAGCTACCCAGGCCAATGGAACGAAAGGTGAGTACGAATTTATACGGGGTGTATTCAGACCAGCTTGGGAAAAGTAGATTGTTTGGGAGGACGCACCTAACAATTATTGTTCAGACCCAGACTGTACTGTGCCTGCCCTTGCCAATGGCACTGCTGACAAATCAGTGGTCCGGTTCCAGGACACTGTGGCCTATTCTTGCCAAGAAAGGTTTAGGTTGGTTGGTGATGCGACACCTAGCTGCTCAGTTGGAGGAAACCTCACGTCAGTACCACCAACATGTGAAGGTGAGTTCAGTAAAATTCTAAACAAAAATTGATAAAGTTAAATTATCACGCCCGTTCCGGAAGGGAATTCATGACGTCTACTGACACCCGATAAACCCTAGCGGCAGATGCAGCGCCTGGGTGGGGATGAGGGGAAAAGCCTCACAAGCACTGGCACAAATGCCGAGAAACCCCATTACCTGAATCCATGTACACCTTGCGCCTGGCCACAAATTCCCAGTTGACTGTGGGTAGCACTTCTAAATAGATAAACTGTAAATTCAAGCAAAGAACTACAAGTTGCAAAAAACTACAGGTTACAAGTTATTCAGTACCCTCATGATGGGCCAGCCATGACAAGTTACTGTAATGTAAAGTTGAATCTGAATTGCAGCGAAGAGAACGTTTTTGGAGGTTGGAGTTGAGAAGAGAAGGTTCCTAATTGTGTAAATAGCTTTTTTGGAGTTTGCTGACAATTAGAAATGCTACAAGTTACGCTATTATATTCGCTAACACCACCGTTTACTTTACAATCCGCTCATGAGACAACATTGCACGACACTGACCAACGGTGCTGATGGCCTACACCTAGCTGGCAATCAGCTCTAGCACGTCTTGGATGTGCACTCCAGCATTTAGAGCCACACAAGTTGAACCGGACAGTCAGTTTGGTGCTGTCTGTGTTGGATGTTGAAAACGAAGAACAGTCGACTCCACTTCTAAAGAAATCGCATATGGCGAATTTCATGATTATGATGACCCGTTGTCCATGTCCCAGATCGAATCCATGGCGTAAGTGTAGTTCTGTTATAACGAACTTTGGCTATAAAGAACTACCTCTCCGGCGCCATGATGTTCGTTATAACTTACAAGGAGCCTCGTCAATTGTAAAAAAAAATTAAATTATCGTGTCCGTTCCCGAAGGGAACTCACGACGGCCGCTAACACTCGATAAACCCTAGCGGCAGATGCAGCGCCTAACGGTGAGGGTAAGTGGGTGAGTCTCACAACCACCTGCACATGTGCCGAAAACGACCCCATTAGCTGCATCCATGCGTCATCGTCAACTGTAGATTGTATAAAAGCTGCAATGACAACATTGCGATGGAGGTTAGATGAACCCAACATTAGGGAAACTTGGAAGAGGCTTCATATTCAATAATGAAAAAAGAGTATACGTGCATGGACAAGAGATACGTTTGGACGGATCTGTGTGAAAATAATCTTCAAATTCACCTTCTAACCTACGGTCGGAGACAAACATGAAATGCAATACGCTAAAAGTTGTGTAATGTTGTCCGTTGCGGTTGTTCTGCTCCGGTCTGCAGCTGTAACCTGCAATGTTACCGCTATTGGCAATGGCACTGCTAGCAGTGCTGTCATCCAATATCCAGATACTGCTTCCTACTCGTGCAACGACGGTTTTTCCCTTGTGAGCAATGGCATGTCAATTTGCACTAAAGATGGTAATCTCGCTTCAGTGCCTTACTGTGATCCGATTAAACCTACTGGTGATACTGGTGATACTGATGGTGATACTGGTGGTACTACTGGTGGTACTACTGGTGGCGATACTGGTGGTAATACTGATGGTGATACTGGTGGTGATACTGATGGTGATGGTGAGTGCAGGTAGATCTGTGAATGTATACGTCAGGCCCCGATAGCAGTCAGGGCTCTAATCCTAGTCACATGCTCTGATACCAGTCACGTACTAAAAGCATTTCTCAGATACTATTCACGACGTGCCACGACTAGTTCCTTGTCCACCTGAACTCCTCCCTGGTTTCCCTTTCTCTCTCTAGCTATTCTATTATACCTTCTTGCTATTATTCACTGGTGCGAGGCTTTGAATATACCCTGGCACACTTATAGTTATGACATACCACTCCCATACAACTTATAGCTATCAGAAAATGGTCACATGCTACTGATAGTTCAGAGATAGTGTCAGATAGCAGTCACACAGACCACAAGGTTGAAGATTCCATTAACACAGACCACAAGGTAGAAGATACCAGTCCGACAAAATTACCACCTCAGCAGTTCTTCTAGCAACCTACAAGCTTCGGAGTTGCAAACAACAATGCGAAGTAATGGTGGTCCAAGCATATACAATGATTGTAAGAAAATGTGCTCGTGTTTGTTACCGTCTAGTTCTTCACCCTGTTTGCGCTACCATCACTAGCCTTGTGTGTGTATCTCTCGATTGATTTGTCGTTCTCAGAGCCTGGGAAAAGTCAGGGAGCTGCAGTTGGCCCTATTGTAGGGGCCGTGTTAGGATTAGCCGCTGTACTGGGCGTGGTGCTAGCTGCTGCCGTGTACGTGAGGAGAACCAGGACGACGAGCTTGACAGTTTCTACCCGCAAAGCGGAAGGCTTGCTCTTGAAGCAACAGCCGTCTGTGCCTGCCAGCGGTAAGTTCTAACCTCTTTAATATCTGCACAGCGGTGGGTATTACGCTCCTCAACATTCGTCTTGCTGACCACTCTGAATATATATAAGATCACCTGATGAGTGCCTGAGATGGCATGAAACCTTAAGTTGTGACTGATCAAGCCATATGTTGTTCTGACTAGTGTGTCACGGCTCTACCTTCCCGGTATCGAGCTCTCTTGGATTTCTGCTGGAATTCACTATATTATAGGAAGTGTGAGTTACGAAGTCTGAAGAAAACGTTGAACGGTCTCTGCTTGGATGACGACTACACCATAGCTCAGCGGTTACAGCATCGCTGGCTACTAGCGAGGGTCCCTGGTTCGGGACCTGGTGGTGACGGTCAATTTTTTCTTCAGACTTTTCCCGTTTGTCTCTTTCCCTCAAAACCAGTCAATTATATATATATATATATATACTTTTTAAACGAGAGGAGGAGATCCCTGTCAACGCGAAGAGTGCTCGACAGTGCTGCAAAAGCACTGGAGCTGATTCACAATCCAGTATAGTCCTCACCAAGTACACATTCTTTCTGTTGCTACTCAGAGTTTCTTGAACAATCAATCATCAGGCAACAATCAACTAAAGCTGGGCATGCAAAAACAATGCTAGATATACCCACCACGCAGCAAGCGCGGACACAAAAGTGTCAAGCGCAAAGTGTCACGCACAAAGTGTCAGGCTCAAAGTAACTTAGTTAGAAAGACAAGTGTTAGAAAGCAGCGCAGTTGTCAGTATGCTTTTCAAGTGGCAAGCTTGTGAGTGTGGGCTTTGTATACAGTGACAATCGTATTCGCGCAATTTTGATGGAAGTGTCCGTTACAAGTGAGGTGGGTTGTCACGTCCGTTGGCCGGAGTGCAGCGTGCTATCCTCGCTTGTTATGTGACCCCGGTGAAGTTGGCTAGGCGGTACTTGTTAGCGCGGCGGCATTTTGCGATGACTTCGCTTTTCTTGTTGAGCATGGTCTCATCGCCAAGGAGAATCCATGTTTTTTCAGCTGTGCACAGGTTACATCTTTTTGTGGCGGTGCTGTAGGAGTTGGCCTTTTCCTTTATCTGCCATCTGAGCTGGTAGTCCTGGTAGTTTTGTTTCTTCTCCCAGAGGTGTTTCGACAGCTCGGTGCTAGTGCGTATCTCTCATGTCGGAATGTGAATACATTTTCTAACGATCTAGAGAGACAGGTGAAGGTTGCTGAACGCCTCAGAGGTTGCAGCTCTCTCATTTCATGTTTCTTGGCAAGCCGGGCAATGACTTCTGATCATGACCCTTTCAGTGGTAATGACGAGATATCTCGCTCTGTAAAGTGTGCCCGAACGACAGATGACAAGATATCTCGCTCTGTAAAGTGTGCCTGAGCGGCGGATGAGGAGATCTCGCTCTGTAAAATGTACCTGAACGACGGATGATGAGATATCTCGCTCTGTAAAGTGTGCCTGAGCGGCGGATGACGAGATATCTCGCTCTGTAAAATGTACCTGAACGACGGATGACGAGATATCTCGCTCTGTAAAGTGTGCCTGAGCGGCGGATGACGAGATATCTCGCTCTGTAAAATGTACCTGAACGGCGAGATATCTCGCTGTGTAATTGTGTAAAGTGTACCTGAACGGCGGATGACGAGATATCTCGCTCCACTGTCCACGCTATAGTATGAAGTGCAGACATCACTGAACAAACTGTTGCACAATTTCAAAAATACGCTTACTGGCCATCTCTTCAAACTTTTTGCTCGCGACTCGCTTTTTTAGGGGATTTCCCTTTGCTACTGGAAATCAAACAAAGCACTTGGATCTCAGCTTTGCAGTACAGTTTGAAAAGTGAAGTTTGGTTTAGTTCGAGCGAGATGGTGAACAAAAATGTATCATGAAGTTAACGATTCTGAGACATGTAAGGGCATCTCCTAGAGCACATAGACCTTACTCTGGCATGCCTATGGAACTGAGAACTACCAGAGAGTCTTCGCTTGGCTCAGGCCTTTCCAACAAGCCATGGATCATGGAAATCCATCAATGAAATCAAAAATGGCGAAAGGGTTTGCTCGGCGACGTGCATGCAGGGTTCAAAATGAAAGTAAGCGTGCTGAAAGCTTAGCCGGCAGGGGAAACTAGGCCAGCAGTGAAAGGGGTAAGATTGTCGAAATGAATTGAACATTTAGATATGATTCTCAGAGTAATGGTGTACAACATTAACTACAGTCCATTTATCGGAAACTGTCCCGCTGGCTTTTGAAAGTCCGATTCGGGCCGAATTGAGGATCTAAAAACCACTCTAAATCTCAAAAATCTGGGTTTTGGATCTGCTTCTCCATACACTTTGCCATGGTATAAATGTCCGAGTTTGTAAAACCTGGCTGAATGTCTATTTCCCTGTTCTTGGACTTTTCTGGCCTCACATGTGGCGAGGAGTAATTGCACGGGTCACACAATGCAAGAGAAGCAGATCCTAAACCCAGATTTTTGAGATTTACTTGGTCCGCGTCAGCAATATTGCCGCTTATCTCTCGACAATTTGTTACTTACACTTTGGCCATCAACGCGTGCACTTGAAGTGATAAAACTTGGTACGATGGACGGTAAGGTATAGAAGGACAACTAGCTATGAGGAATATTTTGTCCAATGTAGGGTTCCTACTTTTATAGGTCCTTCTCGTCGCTGCTCTCGACGCTGGTGACAAATATGTTTTGCTCGGGATCGACTCTCTTGCTTTTGCAAGCTCATCTATCTTCCTCTCCGCTGCCTGGCTATTTTCTAAAGAGAAGTCGATCGTGATGGTCGCCTTCTCTATAGGACTTCGCGTGGGCAGCACGACAGCCTGTGTGGTTTAAATCAGACGCCGTTCTTTGCAAGCTTTTATTTTGAACGATGACGACGTGTACAGTTCTTGCAATTCTCCACGATGCGCCGGACACTTCAAGTGTTGAGCTGGAGGTGAGGGAGCTGTGATCTCAGCTTCAAAAGCGATCCCTGAGGTGAGCGATCTCGGCCGTTCAGCAAAAGAGAGCTGATTCCGAGTGGCCGATTACTTTCTTGTGGGTTGCGCTGCTCTTGCCTGCACAGCGTAACAAGATAATCTATTTTGATGCGGCGCTGCATCAATCAGAATCTCCCACCCGTCTCTCTCGAAATCCTTTCGAAATAAAGCTAGACCTTTCAGGCATTACAGTCCAGTTCAAAACTAAAGACGCGCAGTGTTTTTGAAATATTTCAAATTTGGCTGGAACTTTTTGAGAATAGTTTTCGGAATATTGCTCAGGTCGGCTCCACAATCACTTTCATGTAGTTTCTAAACGATTGGATAACAGACGCCCAATTTGGAAAAAAGTTATGCACAAAGTGATGACAGAATTTATGTGGTATAGATGCTGGCATAACGGTTTTAGCCTAGGTACGCGTCTATAGTTTTGAAATGGACTGTAGTAAACTAATTATTTACTAACCTAAATTGGGATGAAATGGGATGCCAAGTGAGCATTGGCGACATAAACAAAGCTGAACGATAAGCGACAATATCGCTGATGCGGACCAAGTAGAGTGGTTTTTTGATCCTCGATTCGGCCCAAATCGGACTTTGTGTACTGTTGTTTTCACGATATCTACACCTATGTGCATGAGACATCAAAAAGTTAGGGTACCAGTTTCCCATATATGGACTGTAGATACTGGTTGAAGTCAGTGAGCGCACCATCTATATTCCATTCATTGGAAACTGGCACCCTAACTTTTTGGTGTCTCTCTCACATAGTTGTAGATATCGTGAAAACAACAGTACATCCTGCATTGTGTGACCCGTGCAATTACTCCTTGCCACATTTGAGGCAAGAAAAGTCAAAGAACAGGCAATATAAATTCAGCCAGGTTTTACAAAATTAGGACAGGTATGCCATGGCAAAATGTATGGAGAAGCAGATCCAAAACCGAGATTTTTGAGATTTAAAGTGGGTTTTTGATCCTCAATTCGGCCCAAATCCGACTTTCAAAAGCCAGCGGGCCAGTTTCCGATGAATAGACTGTAGGCAAGGAACCTTCAGGCTACTGGCACATTAGACGACCTGACACTTAGCTCCAATACATCTCCAAAGCACTAACCTACAACTTTCCAGCCCGCAAGGTTCTATCCTAAGCTACTAGACACCCTTAGCAAACAACGGTAACGCTATTTTTTACGGTACTCGTACCTTGATCACCCAAATAGCGTTGAAGCTGCAGCGTATAAACGTTATGGGGGGTGATTTATCGTTGTGACCAACGGTACGTGTTTTAGCCAAATATTGCATAGTCCGTACGCATTTCACCTTGTATCGCGTATATGGTGAACAAATGGTTGTACCGCGCGAAATCAAAGCTACTCTCGTGGCAACAGCGTACTAAAAATAGCGTGCATCTTGCTAAAGGTCGAACCCAAAACACGGTATTTTCCCCCTTACGATAATACCGTTACAACATAACGTTGTTTGCTAAGGGTGTCTATTGACTATATTAACTTACGGTGGAGGACACTAAGTCTTATTCTGAACTTGTATCCATATGTCCATTCCCTTTCTCCATCAAGTGCCCCTGGCACAGCATTCGATTTTCAAATGAGATTGTGACTGAGTGTGTGAATACTTCACTGTAGTCACTCGGCTACAAATCCTGAAGGTGGGCCTGGCCAGAACATTTTGGATTTTATTATTTTTGGAAGAATTTGTAGCCGAGAGATTGTTGTTGAGTAGTGGTGTATAACTGGCTATTGTAATATTGTTTGTCTCATGGTGTTCCTCCAGAGTACTCGGTCACAGTCTCATCACCCACTTGCACACTTCAGCGACCGGACACTTATCTTAAAGGAAGTCCATCGGACAGACCAATCTTTAAAGAAGACGCATACGCGACTCTAGGCAAAGGCCAAGGCGAACAATCAGATCGTGGTTTGTGGTACACAGATGTGAAACCACATTATCACAATACAGTGGATAATAGCACTGAGGTTTCGACGTGTGATAATTCACTTACTCGTGATTTGACTCCGTCGAGAGCAGTCTGTGACCTCTAAGCTACAACCCGATCATAACACCATGACAACATTCCGGAGTACACATATTGCCGTCAGAAGAATACATGGAGTATTGTGGACGGACGTGAACGGGCTCTGTCCAAGCCAGGATTTCCAGCGAACATTCTACGTGCCATGGCGCATCTATGTTGAAGGCTTTTAAGCTGCCTACAGTCATCAGCACGCTCTCCGGTAGATAAAGAGAGAGAGAGAGAGAGAGAGAGAGATAAAGAGCTCTTAGTCCAAGGCAATGCGTATGAGCAGGTGGATAATGATAAGATTCTTAAGATATTGTCCCCCATTCTGCTCTTAGTCCAAGGCAATGCGGATGAGCAGGTGGATAATGATAAAATTCTTCTAAGATATTGACCCCCATTCTGGTATTGCATCACATTACACTACACTGCCAAGTGTATGTTAGTATTTTTCTATGTGTTATTGTTTACACCCATACCCTGCCTGTCGTGCTGTCACACTACCAGGTGTTATTCTTGTCTCTGCATTCTACGAACAACACATTTACTACACAATCTCACAGATTCTGTGTAAGAAAATTTTGCATTGGTAGTTCAATAATCCGCCACGAGGGCATCTATCTTTAAAGATTTAAAAAAAATTGTTTCTGCGTGCTGCCGCCCCAGCCTTCAGTTCCGTTTTCCTTCCTAACGACATGAGCTCTCTATTATTCTTTCTATCTTCCCTTCTTCCTTTCTTCCTTTCGGGGTTTATTGCATTTCTATTGTAGTTCAAATCATGTTCTGTTGGATATGAAGTAATGTGGACTGCTCTCTGCATTCCTTCTCTTACAAGTCTATTTCCTTTACTTACGATATTACACCTACAATCTATACTATACGACCGAAATGTATACTCTAACTATTTTCGTGTAATTATCCTGCAGTTATCCTATAATTATTATCCTATAATGAGTCTACTAATGACTGACCTCTGGTTTCCACGGGTACAGCTCATGGCTTTTTCGAGCAACAATTCATATTTTTTTCTTCTGCGATCATAATATACTAGGGCATATAATTATATTCCCTCGGATGGAAAGCCCAGGATAGAGCGTAACTTGTAGCTTCTTGGTCCATTTTTCTTTACTATAAATAATTATATATTTCCGTTTGCTTCTTCGATGTCAAAATAATTTAATAAGATTTCAAGAATCAGAAAACAGACCGGAGAACCAACTGCGATTAACCCTTCGACAAAGCACGATGATCGCAGTTCAGTGTAAACATGGCAAATAGTGAAGAGTCCTTGTCCCCGATCGTGGTTTATTGCAGAATCAAAAGTCTTCCCTTGCAGTTACACTGAAATGGCGCCAAATGCCTGAAAATGCTCGCAATAGGCTTCAATTTTTGGAATTTGTTCCCGGGGAGGATAATGAAGAACCCTTGTCCCCGATTGTAGCGTCTTCTTGGTTTGTTGCAGAATAAAAAATCTGTCATTGTAGTTACACTGAAATGGCACCAAATGCCCGGAAATGCTTGAAATTTGCTTCAATTTTTGAAATTGCTTCCGCGGGACGCCACTGCAACCCCCCCCCCCTTCAATGCCCGCCCCACCTCCAAAGTCCGTGCGACGGGCTTGATTAGAAAAGGTTATTTTCCTGAGATTCGCCGAAAAATATGTTCACGTTTCATTTCCAAATTCGACAATGCACTCTAAATGTAGTCACTCGTCCCTAAAAATGTGTACCGCCCCAGCCACCTGAAATTCCATTGCATCAATAGGACACACAATACTTAGAGTAGAGACGTTGATCTTGATTATCCATATTCAAATCGCGCCAGAAGTTTGCACGACCTTCAGAACCTCAGAGTCGTTATGCTCTTAGTTAAACCGTGAATATGGTGGCAAAGACAAACCTAGCCATACCGTAAAAGCCCCTGTATACGCTCTCTCGAAATCACGCCCACCCTCTGTGTTCACGTCTAGTCAGGGGAAGTCAACACTTTTGTTTCCAAATAGCGCCCATGCCAATGTATACGCCCTGGCGTGCCACTGCCAGAAATATCAATACATGTACAGGTACCGACGCCCAATCTATTGTATTCCAAGTATAAACCCGGTTAAATCTATTGTATTCCAAGTATAAACCCGGTTAAATCTATTGTATTCCAAGTATAAACCCGGTTCCAAAATAACACCCATGCCCTTGTATGTATGTATGTATAACTCATAATCACAAGGTGATTGTAGAGGCATTAATCAGAGGGAGAATTGTGAATGATGTCTCTGAATCCAACTCTATCGTGTGCTGCATGAGAAATATCAGTACATGTATACGCTCAGGAAATGGAGGCTGGTATTCTATACGCCCGGGGCCTATACACGGGCTTTTACGGTACGGCGGTAAATACACTCGTGCCCACATACGCTGTCTAGGCTGCAAAGCTATTCTGTCACAGAGCTCTCATTCTTACCACCACCACCACCAGCAGCAGTTCGATGCATGACCATGCATGGCCATTCTGCTGAGAATATTCTTTAGAATAAAGAGGTCCATTTTTTATTTCGTTACGTAAGCTTCTTTTCTGCGCTTTCATGGTCTCTGCTTTGTAAACTGCATACGGGATTTGGGATTCGTGCTGTTTCAGGCTCCCCGGCGACCTGCAACAGCTCCTTTGCTTGGTAAGGTATCCATGCCATCACTTCACCAAGTCCTTTTACTGCTGCTTGTCTTGCGGTCTATACTCGGATCTGCAAGCTCTTTTTCAAGATTATTTTGTACTTGCCCAGCCTAAGATACCACTTGCTGATCGTATAGTCACCCGTGGGCAGCTGCATAATTTACTTCGCATCCCGTTCCTACCCAATCCTGCTGGGTGATATTCTATCCAATTTCAGGGCAGCACCACATGGAACTATCTACCCGATGCTAACCGCTCTCTAACAGACCGTGTTCATTTCAACAAATCTCTTTCAGATCTTGATCTCACTTCACTCCATTAGCTATTGACACACTATTACGTTCTGTCCCCAGTACATCATCTAACGTATCCCCCATATTATCTACATGTACAACCACAACACACATAAAATACACTGCTGCATGGTATTAATTTTATTATTGTCCTGCTGACAGTCATGACATCTTACTATTTCCCATACTGTTCATATTTTATCATATTCATCTATTATACTGCATTATTCTTCATCATAGCCTAGGATCATTTATGATCCACAGCAAGAAGGCAGCCATGCCCGTCCGTACCTATGGTGAAGTAAAATAAAGGTAACATAACATAACACTACGCAAGAGGTACACAAAAGGAAGTATATAGGGCTGTTTTTTGTTGTAACTCAGAGTTTCATGGCAAAAACCAATCATCAGATAACATAACACTATAGTAGCTAACAGCAAGAGTACATAACCCCCCAGAGTGTGCAACGATCCAGCTCTGTGTAGGGTCTTGGTCGAGCGGAATCGGATCTTCTGATGTCATGCGTACACTTCACACCAGCGCAAGGCCGGTCTCAAGGCAGGGCACCATTTTTTTTCATCCAAGAGTACCCGCGACTCCCCGGGTTCCCCTCAGATGTGTACGGTATTGTGACGCAAAGATCCGATTCCGCTCGACCAAGACTAGGCTTTTCCACATTATGTTTTGCATAATTTTCGCATCTTTGGGGTAAAAATGAATCCCGGGTGTAAAAATGCATCTTTCGTGATTTTTGCAAGATTTTCGTCAAAAACAACAAGTTTTGCGTTATTTTTGCCAGATTTTCTTCAAAAACAACACATTTGGCGTGATTTTTGCCAGATTGTCTTCAAAAACAACAAGTTTTAATAATAATATAATATTAGTGCAATTAGGAGTATAATCGATGCAGACATGGCCAGACAACAACGAGTTCATGGAATTTTTAAGGATTTTTATGTTATTCAAAATCGATTTTCGTGTTCCGCTCATCAGTGAATAGTATCGGAACTGCGGGTACTGTGTACAACAATAGAACATTTTATAACAGCATAATTAATTAAAAGTGTGAACAACAAAGGAAGTGCTACAGCATTACATAATAGGTGTCAAACATAGTGCTAACGTATATAACTGAGTGCAGCCACAAAGCAAGAGGTGATACAGTGCAACATGACACAACATTTACATTTGATAACCAGCTACGAGAACAACTTTAGCGCGACTACATTGACCTGGCCACCACTTCTCGACCCACTGCAAACGGCAGCGGAGCCTACTCTAGCACAACATCATCGTCCTGGAATGGAGGAGGGGCCACCGAGACACACTGAACCTTCACCTCGGCAGTTGCCCTTGCCTCCGCCTGAGCCACCCCCTTTACCTTTGGTGACTACCGAGACGGTGGTCCCCCCGGTGCTGGGATCCACGGTGCCGACTGTGTCTGGACAGAGAGGGAGATCATCGACAAACCAAAATGAAACCAATATCCTCACCCATAGACCCAGAAGAAGCACAGAAAACTATTCACTTGAAATTTATGCACGGAATGGACTTGGTCCACGCAAAATGGACAGTGGAAATGGGTGTGCAGTAGCAGAGAACCCAGCAACGGTGACGCGGAGCAGCGGTCAAACGACTTGTGATGCTGGTGGAGATGATGGAGCCATGTTGGAGGCTGATAAGGAGTGCAGTGAGACTGAGCATCAAACGGATGATGAGGAAGTGACTGATGATGATGATGGTGGTGATGAGGACGATGATGATGAAGATGAGACGGAGGACGAGGATAAGGCGGAGGAGGTCGAAGGAAAGGAGCGGGATGAGACGGAAGAGAGCGACGTGAGCAAAAAGTCAGCTGTATTTTGTCACTTGTTATCACGTCCAGATTGTCTTGGTGTGTACGATGATTCTCACTTTTCTGTTTTGTGCCGTGCAAGTTATGTTAAGCAGTTGAAGGTTCTGGAAGCTGTATGTATTCGTGTGCATAATCCTGTTCTTTGTAAACAAAAGAAGCATGTAGTCGCGCTAAAGTTGTTCTCGTAGCTGGTTATCAGATGTAAATGTTGTGTCATGTTGCACTGTATCACCTCTTGCTTTGTGGCTGCACTCAGTTATATACGTTAGCACTATGTTAGCACTATGTTTGACACCTATTATGTAATGCTGTAGCACTTCCTTTGTTGTTCACACTTTTAATTAATTATGCTGTTATAAAATGTTCTATTGTTGTACACAGTACCCGCAGTTCCGATA